ATTGGCTTTTCGAGTTACTAACTAAAGCAGAGGTAGGAGAAGGGTAAGGATATCTCAGTTGTCGTTGCTTGCTACTGTATATACAGCAACTATAATATTAAATAGTTTTTTATTTGTTTTTTATTTGTTTTTTATTTGTATTTAAAAAAAAATTTTCCTTGCTGCGTGTTGTGTACTGAGGTCTCCACCCGGGGGGTGGGTGGGGGGGGGGCTCTTCGCAGCTTTCTGAAATAAAAAGATATATGCACTGGGTTTTTGTGTTTTCTTTGTTATTTTCCTTGAATATACGAGCTGTATGCTTTTTAATTATATTTCATGTGAAAAAAATCAAGAAGAAATATTACTGTCTCATTAGATTCATGTATGCGGCACCACACTACACCTGGGAGACATACAAAGATTTCGTTTTATAAGTTTCGCTAGAGAGGTGATCTCGTTCATTAGGGGGAACACTAACCCGTGTGCTAGCTGCTGCACACGCAAGCCAGCTAGCAGCAACCCGCTAGAGAGGATATTCNGAACACTAACCCGTGTGCTAGCTGCTGCACACGCAAGCCAGCTAGCAGCAACCCGCTAGAGAGGATATTCTCTCAGCGGGGGCAACCTGCGTGGAGGATGCAGAAGAGAAGCAGCCGCAGCAGCAGGCTGCGATCGGAGACTAGTTTGTGAAGCACTCGGGAGGTCTAGCAGTCGACTACCCGGGAAAACTCCAGGATTATATTTCTCACAGTATCTGGTTGTGTTTGGTTAGGGTTTACGGTTTAGGGTTTAGGGTTTCCTAGTCACAGCATTTGTATCTACACTAGCGTACTCTGCTTTTTTTTGTACTGCTTTCGTGCGGCCCAAGCGGCTGACTCAGGTGCCTCTGCACTATCCCCCCAGAGCAAACCATCGACCTGCTGGTAGATTGTTTTATCCAGTATCCCGGCTTTCTCGATGCAGCCATCGCAGATGGCAATGCACGTTTCTAGTCTGAGCGTTGGGGGCAGCTCTGCAAACGCTGTAACACCCAAGGCGCCACGTCTACCGCTTACCATCGGCGGGGCGAAAGACAGACGGAGTGCGTGAGCCGTGCTCTCGAGAATATATTCCGAGCGTAGATACAATCAGATGAGCGCAAGTGGGAAAGCTTGCTGCCCGCATTGGAACTAGCGTATACCACCTCCTGCCACTCCTCAACGGAGCTCAGCCCCTTCGAGGTAATGACGGGGGAGAACCCGATCACAGCAGCACATTCTCGGCGTTCTAACTCTTAGCTTAACTCCCCCCATGCCCAACCGTTTCCGTCGCCTCTGTGACCCGGCCCAAGCGCATATCCTGCGAGCCAAGTGGACCCAGAAGGCCTACGCAGAAACTCACCGGCGAGACGTTGTCTTCTACTCTGGGGAGTACGTGTCGCTCAGCAGCAGCAATCTGCCAATACGCCTCCCCGAAATTCCGGCTCAGAGTTTGAGCCGTGTTTCTGCGGTCCGCTCGCGAGCAAAGTGCGGATCAGGAAGGTTGCGTATCGTCTGGCCCCTCCCCCAACCTATGGATGCCACGATCTCTTCCACGTCTCCCAGTTGATTCCCGATATTCCCAGGGGTCCCACGACGGCTTATCCAGAGTCATATGCTAGCTGGCTACCCGTGCACGATGCTCACCGCAACGTCACTGATACCTATGAAGTGAACTATATCATGGATCAACGTGGCGAAGTTCCAGATGATGCCCAGTATCTACTCAAGAGAGAGAGGAACCAGAAGACTGCTATTCTTGGGAGCAATCTGGTCATATACAAGGTTACCCAGCTATTCTCCGAGCCTGGCGAAGGCACAAAGCTCGCGCAACCCGATGGACTCGCTCTCCCGTCTCACGGCCACTACCTTTTCCGGGCTCTTAGGTCCCTCTTCTCCACGCCATCCTGGTTCTTTCTCGTGAGAGGAAGGTAAACTGATTTGGGGTAGCTGCTACTTCTTTCCCCAAGACGTCGGCTTCAGTGCAGCTCGATTTAGTCATTTATCCAGGCCGGAAAGTGTGCGCTACAGATATACAAGAGTTATCCTCATTCGCGAGGGTATTGCATCTGTACAAAGGCGCTAATGAGGCTTTTTTTTTCATTGCCACAGAATGTTTTTCACCTCCTATATGGGAATCCGGGGTCGTATTTCTAGTATGTAGTTGAGCAGTTACTTGTAAGTTTCTAGTCGTGGAGTGATCAGTGGGTGGTAATCAATGCAAAGTGACTCTCTACAATTGGCAGTGTCGGCAGCGGCCGTTTAGTCTAGTGGTATGATTCTCGCTTTGGGTGCGAGAGGTCCCGGGTTCAATTCCCGGAACGGCCCCTTTTCCAGAACAAATATCTTAATCTTTCGTTTTGGAGATTTTCCTGCAATGGGTGCTGGTGCTGCCGCCGTATATATTGCTCTAGGAAATACTGCCCCTGAGTCTGAGCGGGTCATCTTCACTTACTTTCGCCCCACATATTACGGGGCTCTCCTCTTTCTCAAGGATACTGCATGTACCTGCGTTGCTCCCTGTGAGACAAAACAAACACTTTATTATTCTGCGTGTCATCCGTAAAGAGCGATCATCTGTGGGTCTTTGCAGGAAAACCAGTTCCCGGAGTGGCACGCAGAGCATTACAACTAACATGAATTTATCAAGACTCTAAAAGTTTTTACGACAAAATTTTCGCCTGCTACTTACTACGTTTCCTGAAAAGCAGGAGAAAGCATCCGGTACGAGAGAGGTGGCTTTACGTGCTCTGGTATGTAGAAAAGAAGACTCATGAATCCTCGACATTACCTACACGAAATGTGTTCCGTGTTCAAGCAGATCGGAAGACCCTGAAACACAGAGAGAAGAGCTTGTCAATGTTTCGATAGTAAGAGAGTTGCTGGGTGGCGTTTCCGGTTCAGGACTGCACCTTCACAGAAAAGCATATCAGGGGGATCACCAGACGCGCTGACGCCGTATCTTCATGCCCTATTAGTCAGAGAGGAACTGGAGAGTGCATCAGCAAAAAATTCCGTGTGAAAAGGGGCCGTTCCGGGAATTGAACCCGGGACCTCTCGCACCCAAAGCGAGAATCATACCACTAGACTAAACGGCCGCTGCCGACAGTTCAAACGGTAGAGCGTCACTGGGCGTTGATCACCACCAACAGCCCACTCCAGGGTGCCAGCGCATCATTAGAAAATCCTTACCCACCAGCTACAATAAAGCGTTCCCACTCTCAAAGATTTCAAGCATTCCTTGGACCTCGCGTCACTGCTTCCTCCGCACAGAAATAATTTTGCGGAGAAGGAGGAGAACTCAGATATGTATCGTTTCGGATAGATACCGTCAACGTAACAGAGCAGGCAGTTTAGCCTGAAGGAGGAACAGTAGCAATATAATGCATTGCATCAGCATAGCACGTAAAAACGGCGGGCGCAGAGCAGCCGTAGCAACTCCTACACTGTCGCTTGCGTCTCCTGCATCGTGCCCTGTCCCTTCAGAAGCCTGCCTCTTCCGGGGAACGTCGAGGGGTAACCCTCACCAGGGTCGGCTATGTTTAGAGCACAGCAGCTCAGCCCTAACACCAATGCAAGGGCTCACAGCCAGAGAACGCACTAAACAGAAGAGACCGATGCAGAGCGTGAAGTATATTAGGCTTACGGAGGCTCCCGGCAAACGACGCAGAAAGAATCCTAGAACTCTTGCCAAAGTTAGATGGTGAAAGACAGCGTTTAGAAAGTACAGGAAAAGTAATTAAGCCCCAGGGAATATTGTGGTTTGCGGCATTCTAAGAAACCCAAAACATGGAAGGCTATGGGTGTAACTGAGATACAAAGAAAACTAGCATGAGGCGGCAGACGACTGTCACAAACAAATAAAGATTCTTTTCTGTCTCTGTTTACATTACCTTCTTAGCTGTACTTAGCTGTACCTTTTTCTTTTTTAAACTCTTGTGTATGAGGCGGAGACGCGGTGACACTTCTCCAGTTCTCCAGCTCAGCTGTACAACTGCGGAGCGACACCCACTCCTCGGCGTACCTTTCCCATGGCAGTGTGAACTCAGCCTGAACCACAGAAGAAATTTCCAGCGAGAAATTTCTCTCTAGAGTTGTGTTTTTTTTTTTTTTTTATAACGAGCAAATTCTTCTATATGATGTTAGGAGCCAATAGGAATGCCTTTTCT